TGGTCTTTCCCCCCCCCCCGGCGGTTACCCGCAGCGTGTGACAGCCTCTTGGGATGCTATGGTGATGTGGCTTCATCCCCGGAGATGTCGTCACCAGCTGCAACACTCTCTAATCCCTCTGCAGACATATATTTAAATCTCAACCCTTTCATTAAAACCTATCAGCTTACTGAAGCCTCTGAATGCAGCTTTTTTATGAAATTACCCTGCCTGTAAGAATGAGTTTCTCACTCAAGAGGTGTAATACTGCTAATCGATATAATAGGTTAAACCCTTCTATTATGGCTCTGCTGAGAGGATCTGGAGTTTGACATTTGTATGCCGTGCTCAACGCTCCGTTTCTCCCCTGCTAGTTATTTTTATCATTATTTTGGTTCTTATGACAAAATTGCACTCTGCTCATCTGGAAAGCTCCCCCCCCCACCTAAATCCTGCTCGCGTTCGGCCTACGTGGCAAATAAAAGAGCTCTCTTGACTTAATTTTCAAACATCAAGGTCCATTAAATCAAAATGATGCTTTCCAGATCTTGTGTCTCTCAGCAGCTCATCCCCATCCCTCCCTCTCCGAAGTGTTTCAGCTTTGCTGGGTGTCTCCTGAGCTGGTCAGCTGGCAGGATTTTGAGGCTGTGTTTTAGGGCATTTTTGGAGGTTTCCACTTGTCCTGCCTACGTTACGGGAAGCTGGTGACATCCTGCTGTGTGTCATCTCGGAGCTGTGGCTGAGAGCATCCCTTGTCTGTCCCATGGGTGCGAAGGAGGGATGGCTGGCCGCATCCAGCTGGGTCTGGCGCCAGGTTGTGCTGCCCTTCTGGCCAGCTCCTGTCACCCGCCTGCTGTTTGTAGGTTTCCTGCCCTTGGCTGGTGCTTGGCTATTTGCCTGCACTTGTGCTCCTGGTGTCGTTGCCTTGCTATGCCAATGGAGGGAGCTTCCCCGTCCTCCTCGGTGACCACCTCCATGTGAGGAGGTTTTGTAGAGGGATCTGGCGATGCACAGCAGGGTGGAGGGACACGACACTCACAGCCAAACAGCTCAAACGGATCTTCCCCATCCACAGTGGGTTCTCTAAGATCAGCCACTT